TGATAAATCGATTGTAATCGTATTGTAGTATAATATGCTAAAAATAAGTTTTGTATTTTAAAATACGAAGGACATTACAAAATATTATTATATTACAAAATATCCACTTTAAGTATAATTTAAACTCAATGTAAAACGCCTTAACGGGGTTAGCAATATAGATTTGTATTATTGTTACTCTTTTGAAAATAAAATACCACTAAAACGGTTCCTTTTTTATGGGCTTAGTTGATAAAATGTTATGTCTAATATCAGGTTTATACTGACGTTTTGATGAATAATGGTTCAATGTCCATTCGATTACGAAACATCCATGTATAACAATAATGAATTTAACTTCAATAGGATTCAGTTTATTTTTCGACTTACATAGTAATATTATTATTCAAAGTTCCTTATTGCATACATATTATATAGGTTTCTAATATTAAATACAATTTAAATATTAATTTTATGATGAAATTTAATTTCATAATAAATTAGTTTAAAACAGATAACGACATAACGTAATAACAAATGATAACACTTATCAGTTATCACAGATTCGATTACATTTTAATACTCTTTTTCATCTTAATTATTTATCTCATAGATTTTTTACATGATATATAAATATTTAAAGGACTTAAAATATAATATATTTTATGGATTATGTATAAAATAATATTATATATTCATATTTAGAAGGCATTTATTGTATTTAGAGTGTTACAATTTAAACTAGGGTCTAGGGGTCTAAGTTGATCATCATTAATAATATTAATATTGCACTGCGCTTTCGACTGCTCCGTTACTAAAATCGGTAATTCAATCATAAATGATCTTTATATTTAGACCGTGCTATTTACATATTTAATCTCAATTATTATTTGTACTGTTATCTGTAGTCTATATCTGTACTTATCTATAGCCCGTAACCCGATCCTGCAGTTGTCCGTATTATCTCGTATTGATATAATTTCGTTATACATCTCTTCAACGGGTAAATACATAAGTAGTATAGTTAGCTCACATTGGAAATGGATTCCAAATTCAATGGCTCATCTTGTGCCCAGTTTCAGGTTAAAATTCAGTTCACGTCAAGATTCTAGAAATTAAGTGTTGAATACTACGGGGTCTTATATAGATATCTTTCTTTTATAGTTTGATGGGCAGGCAGTAGGCACCTTACACGAAATTTAAAGGAAATATAATCACTTTTAAGTGTTCGGGTGGTTAATGTGGGTGAAAATTAAAACTGACGGAGTGTCTACTTAATCAAAGAGATGTACTCCGGGTGTAAGATAATTGGTACTGTTAACCATTTTTGTACCCAGCCTTTTAATTACATTTTATTTATGCTTATCTTATGTTATGCGATTGTGTTCACATATTTAATACACTTATACACACACATCTTGATTGTAGGTAATATTATCCTTCAACAGGTATCCTGAACTTTAAGCCAATAATTGTGTATGAAATAAATGATTCTATTTACTCGATTATATAGGTACTTCAAAATTTTACAAATTTGAGAATTATTGGAATTTCAATAATTTCCATAAGCTCTTTTATTCCTGTTATTTCAAAAGATCAAAATCAAAATCTCAAATAGTTTCATACAATATTGGTGATAACTAGATTGATAGATTATAAAAATGCAGTGGTTCATAATATATTTAGAGATGAAACAATCCAAATTATTAGCATGATTCAAATGTCTTGGAGTTAATGATTTGATGAATTAATGAAGACTGTAAAACTTATGAGTGACATATTTACACAGACAGTTCGAAAATATTTTACACGTGATATTCGTGCAATAGTAACTTTGGTTTTTGAATTATAATCTGTTTATAATCAATTAAGTACAACTCTTATCCAAAAAATGATTTGAGTGAAATTTGTTTAAATTTATATAGTATATTTGTTACTTTATTACAGTTGTTATGATCATAGAAACATATTTAGACGATCAGAAGATTTATGTTTGCTTTTAATATTTAATATTATTTTTTTAAATTAAAAGTATAAAATATGTAAAGTAATTTTTACTTTTTATATAATAAAATATGATGCATAAATCTCAAAATCCACAGTTGAAAATTGTCACGTTTTTTTAGCCACTTATTTCTTAAGCTTTTTTTTGTGGTTTAAAATGAAATGAATGTATTTTAATACAATTTTTCAAGAAATTATACGGTATGATTACAAATGGGTAATGATCTAACTTATTTAAAAAAAAAATCAGCATCTTAAATCATAATTTATAGCCGCATAATAAGCTTATTATATGAGCAATTCACAACTTTATATACATTAAGTTGCAAAGACAAATTAAGTTACAAAACTATAACCACATTATTATTTATCTGAAACGACCATTTACCATGAATCATATAATTTTAATTTTAAGTACTTTTCTTTTCACCACAAAACTAATAACATTATTATGGAGATGCATATTTAGTTACAAATCTCATACCGAACAATAAATTGGCTGAATTCATAAAGTTAACGCAATCATAACAACGATTAACGGTCCTTTATTTAACCATACTGTCGAATATTGTCAACTAATTGTTGGGTGATATAGGTAAACTGATGAAGTGATGTATATTTAATTTATTCAGAACATGGATACAGTAAAGTTTAATCAGAAAAAGTGGGAAGTAGCCAACCATTCTACTGTTTTGTAGGTTTCGAGTGACCTTCGTCATTGAGTAAATCACTGTTATCAATGACATGTTAAATTTGAATTCAATGATAAATCATTGCATACGAAAAACGATTCTGAATAAAGGTGGTCTGTCATCCAGCGTTATTAAGTCTATATTATGATAGATTTATATCGCTACTAATTAAATAACTAAATAATTTAATTTACAATAAGACATTAGTAAAACAATAAATGATTTAATTTTTGCCGAAAACGTGGCATTTGAAAATGTCATTATGTGTAGGTGTAAAAAAAAATGATACGGCTACGTCAAAAGACTTTGCCACGAACAACATTTTTAAATTCAAACAAATAAAATCCTTATTCTTCATACGAATATCTAATTTTGTCAATATTTGAACTTTAAATGTGTATAAAAATATAATATATACTATAAAATATTATTTTGATTTTATGATTTTAATAAGAATTATTTATGAGAAATTGAACCTTAATTATTTTTTTGGTAAATTAACATCATCTCTAAAATATTCAATGTTTCTGGAAATTTCTTTCAGAAATTTTTAGAATTTATATTAAAACTGTATTTTTTTTTCAAAAAGAAATTCAATTTTTTTAGTTAGCAAGTTTTTTTCATTTAAGTAAGTTAGCTAAGTCGCGTATGATTTCATATAACTTTTTCAAAAATTTTGTTTTTTAGTTACTTCAAATTTTGTAAAAATAAAAATTTATTTCCAAAAACTTTAATACTTTTTGAGAAAATCAGTGTTTTCCTTTAAAACAATCACCTATTTAGATATCTATAGATTAGTTATTTTAAAAAATGATCTTACAGATTAGCTACCTATTTTATTATTTAGTCACCTATACAATCACTAAATCCCAAAAGTAAAATTCATATCTTTAGGATCTTTATAAATTATTTTACAAAAAAAAAAACAACCTTAAAATTGTTTTGGAATATTAATAATTTAATAATATAACCAGATGTTTAAGTATTTCGTTTATTACAAACATTTAACGTAAGATAATAATATATAAGATTCAAATCAAATAGTTATAATATAATTATAATTATAATTATTCCGATAAAGGTCATCCATGCTCTAATTGCACTATACTCTATTGCACGAAAATCGATCCATCGAATTATCTTTTAAATACCAATGATTTTGCAAGCAGTTATGGCATAAGGTAAAATATGCAGGTATTCAATACCACGTACAATACGTCCCAATTTAAAATCCAAACTTTCAATTCACACAAAACCAACGCAATATAAATCTCTGTTAAGGCTCATTTGAACAGATAGTGCACACATCTGGGACCGTATTAAACCATCTCAGAGCTATGATTGTACCCAGACTTATATCTTATTGCTCCTGGCAAAATATATAATGACTCTCTAGGGACCAAGCATATAAAAATAGAAACTGTTCACCGACTAGCAACCAAATATCACAGAAAATGATATACCCAACTTCCAATCTCACTTCAATTAATTTGTCTGTATGTATTTGCGCTCCTAAATAATCCCATCGGTATAGCTCTATATATTTAATTAATCAAAAACCATATAAATATTATTTAAACCTTGAACATAATATTTTAAAGCATGTGTTTTGTATGACGCATTTGTATGCATTTCACTTTAGTTAATTAAACCGTGTAATATTTGTTTGTGGTTATTGTGTCATAACAAAGTGAGGAAGAAAATAAAATACAAACTGTTTAATTTGATAGTATGACGAATCTGTTTTAATTTTTTTATGTAATTAAAATTGTGAAACTAAAATACTACAATATCTAATGTACATATATTAAAATATAATATTTTTAAAAAAAAATTTCAAAAATACTTATTCATTTTTACGTTTTACTCGGAATATGATAATAATGTATGCAATTCCATTAATCTTCTAATATATAAAGTGAAATGCGCATTTGGTAATCACTATTAAGTTATCAATATTTTTTTTTTAATAGAATCCCAACATTATTATTTTATGATATTCAATCTTCTTGACTTCACGGATTTTGTATCCAGTAATTCAAAAAAATCAACTTTTGAGATATTTTCTGCAAATTTGTCAAAATATTTCAAAATGTTTTTTATGATTTTATATTATGTAATGATTTACAATAGCATATAATTTAGTTACACACTAACTCTGTTTTTTAAAATATAACTCAAGACACATACCGTCAAGGAAAATAATGTTTAAACTATAGAGCTTATTTATTGAATTGTTGTTCTATAAAGATATAAATTTGAGTACTTCAACATACGATAAAAAAAAAAATAATAACCACTGTATTTTTTTTCTTAATTTCACAGATTAATACAGAAGAATGACTGACAGCAGAAAGAAAATCAAACGAAGATAATGAATATAGAATACGTCACTTGTCACTAAAAAATAGGTAATTTACCACAACATCATTAAGAGGAATATAATATACAATGTAAGATAATAATACATTTAATCATATCTATTATAGAAACGACTCAATCAATCAAATTATACTTACAATCTAAATGTATACGTCTTACGTAATGCCCCACGTAAACACGACGAATACGAATACAAACAAAGCAGATTCTATTCCATCACATCGGATGCAATTCAAACATAGTGGTCAGAATATAAATAGTTCGTACTCGTCGTTGGCATTCGTCGTGTTTACGTAGGCCTCAACGTATAATTATGATGTTGATTTAGGTAGGTATCTACTATCTATAATAGGTAAATAGTTCAACAAGTAATTCACAGAAATACTTAATACCTTAAGCACATACACACACACACACACACACACACACACGCACACACACACACACATACATTGGGGCGATAAAAAAGTTTCCAAACGATCATTAGACTAATTAGCAATGATAAACGATAGTGCGATTATATGATTAATAAGACGATTAAATATTTTATCTAATGAATGCGTATCGGCGTTATCCGTTATTGCTATATATATGTATTAAAACAGTAATTAAAGCGTTTCCAAATTGTTACACCTACAGGTATATACATAGTATAGGAATAATGACGTGTATATACACAAAATATGAAGTTGGTACTTTTGGTGGTCAAAAGTAAAAAAATCCTGATGGTTTTTAAAAGACTAAAAAAAACAAACAACAAATAAAAGAAAACTGCAGATATTTTTATGCGATACCTGTTTTCGAATAAAATCATATTTTTTTTTAGTGTAACTTTTAAAACTATAACTGTAGATACATGAAGGTATTACTGAATGTATGTCTTATCAATTTCTATGCACCATAAAGTTTTCAAAATATTGCGATTCTTTTTGAGCTATTATTTATAAGCTTAAAAAAATTTAATTTTTTTTAATTTTAGCGGGTAAAAAATTTTTTGTTCGATTAAAAAACTTTAAACTGCAATACAATGTTCCTTATGAGTTTTTATTAGTGGAATTGAAAAAAAAAGTTGAGCGTAAAACCACAATATTTTTTTTGAGGTATCTGATTATAAAATTTTGATAAAATTCATCAAAATCAAGAAAATTTGCAAACTATTTCGAGTTTGAAATTCATAAAAATGAAAAAAAATATTCAAATTGTATAGCTTAGGATTGAACATTTCAAACAAAGATTCTCATCAATAGTTCATACTGAAACCGCAAAATCTAAAAAGTATAGAACAGTTATTTTTTAAAGACATTTTAAGTACAAATTTAGACGAAATCACATATCAAAGCCGAAATTAACTACTATTTTAGTTATTTTGTTGTGATTTAAAAATATTATTAATGGGTACTTGAGAATTTTAGAGTACATTATTATAACATTGTACCTATACAGTTTAAACACAATTACAATTTAAAATGCGATTTTTTTCTTCAAAAATTAATTCAACCTTGGTACTGCAATACTAAGCCTAAAAGTAAAATAAATTATCTAAATCACCATAATATCATACAATTTACTTGGGAAATTATATGGTGACAGACTATCTTCGATCAAATTATTTTTCGTATACAATGATTATTGAATTCAAATTTAACACAACCATTACTCTTTATCTAGATACCTAATGTATAGCAAAGCGCTGCTCACTTACACTCGTTTTTATTTGGTCTGTGGTCATATTTAGAAGCAGAGAAAAAGCTTACATTTTAAACGTTGAGGTTAGTTTCAATTGGTAGACAATTAGAGTTATTAAAGTTAGTCAGTACTTTGAGTCAAAAGTGGTACAGTACTTTTCAGTATAATCGTAAAAAACTTCTAAAAGAAATTAAACAACAAACTCACCACCAATGCTTTTTTTTATAAGCATCTGTAGAATAAATTTTGAGTTGGAATATTGAAAATAATTTTGTTGCATTAACCTACTCAAAAATATGATACACACGAAACCTAATTTATAGTTCTAAATTTTACATATATATATTATTACTATGATTATAGGAAATATGAGGTTACTAACACTTAAACTGACAATACAGCTATATTGGTAATATGTTTTGTTTGTGAAAATAATCTCATTCCATTGCAGGATATTCGTGAAATATGTTAGTCTTTGTGAATACAGCCAGAAAACTTTATTGGTTTTACAGATGTATTTTTTATTGTTGTAAAACACCACCTATTGGTGAAAAATGTTCAAAACTTTACATAATATGCGATTGAAAAACGGACACAAGTGGTATAACTTGAATGAATACACGTTGGTCTGAATTGTAAAATTATGTGTAACTTTTCTATTAAATTACAGATTTATATTATGTATTTTATATGTTTCTGTATTTTATTATTGCGTACTATTATTGTTTTAAAACAATATACCACAATTATTTAGGTCTTTATAAGCTTTAGACATTTAAAAAACAAATTTATTCGCGTTTTATATTTTAAAACAAAACGAAAAACTTCACCATTAAGTACAACTATTTATATAATATTCTGTTATGATGCAATAATCATCTACTACAATTTAAATATAATAAACATCTCTAATACATAATGACCCAGTTATAAAAAAAAGCGTTTTTCTCAAAGTACTTATATATTTACAATAATATGTTTCCTTCGTTTATAAAATATTTACTATTCATTTTTATAAAAATAACATTTAAGTGGTTACGTTCCAATTTATTGAATATGTGTATGTATTTTTATAATACATATTTAGGTATTATAATATTATGTGAAATTGCAAATAGTACGGAGAACTATAAAAATATATAAAACATCACTTAGCGTGTCACTCTAGTGTCTAAAATCATTCATTAATAATGAGTATGTATCTTTACTCAAAATCATTTACCAAAGTATAATTTAAAATGATTAATTGACATACGGTGAAAAATAAAATCGAAGATGATCACAAATTATTGTTATTATTTAAATTTGTGATAGCTACATAAATGACTAGAGTACAAAAAATATTGTAACTTTATCAATGTATCATTCAAGATTTGATTTACTCTATTTTGTCTGTACAATTACCCTTAGTTAAGCTTTATTAGGAATCTTAAAAAAATTCAAAACCCTTACTTTTAAATAAAAACTTAAAATTGTTCAAAAGTATTAATTTTTTTGTTAACAAACTTTATCGAAATCAGAATGCGTAGGAAAATAGTTTGATTGTCACCTAAGACAACGCGATGTGTTAAATATTTTAAGATTCAATCATCATGGGTTTTTACTTTTTAATAATTTACTTATCCACACTATTGTGCTTGAAAATAAATAGTGACAATGATATTTCGGTATTAAAAAGATGAATTTTTAATCCTATCCAGAATCACCTAATTGCAAGTTGGAAGGAAACTCACGTCCACGTGGATAAACTTTTCACTAAAAGGTCTTTAAACTTTTTATATTTCCCTTCTCATTTTAATTATTTTATTATCTATATTAATTATACCGTTATTAAAAGTTGACAATAAACATAAAATTAACATTTTTCACCCATGGTAATAATAATAGACAATCATAATAATATTATATTATAGTTTATTTAAACGAACGTGGTCAGTTATTACTTTTTTAAATTAACATTATACAAATTGTTAATAATGGAAAATAACTTAGACCCTATTGTTTATTACACAACAATCGCCTCAATTATTTCTTATTAATTATAACTTATGAGTAATTTATGGATTCTATATTTAGATAATAATAAACTTTTATTTGGATAACGTTTTTTATTTTTTACACTGTAAATACGTTTCCTGTGTTTAAACTGAACCATACGTATTTTACAAAAAGGTTAGGTACTATAGTGATATTATTCAACTGACTGTTTTAAAATGCATAATACATCTAAGCATCACTAACACAAATAAATCGTTCAAACTAAAGTAATCCTACTCAATGATAGCCATATATCAATTCTAACTCACTTTTTCTGATTGTAAAATCAATAGGTTTATATCAGTCAATAACGTTTATGCATATCATACGGTGCTCATAAATAATCGTCTTGTTTCTTCGAAAAACTCTTGAGTACGACAGAAAAAAAGGTTAAAAAATAACGTGTATGCCATTAATATTACATGTTTCTTTAAGTGTCGAAGAAAGTTTATGCTTTTAAAAATAACGAATCAAAAAAATGTATCAGTATTTAATATTATTAAATTATAAAAAAAAAAAATGGTCATTTAAGTGTGTAGTATTTAAAAGGAGCTTACAGTTATTAAAACATATTATATCATTCACATAAATTATTTCCACTCTAACAAACTCTTTACTAAATAATAATCATATAAATTATTATTTATCATTTATAAAAAATTATCAACTTATGAAATTAAAATTATTAAAAACTGTTATTTTTTGTTATGTTATGAGTATAAATCTGTTTTTAGTCCAAGAGAAGGTAAAAAACATACACGGACAAGAGCCCATAATAATGATTTTTATGTCTGTTCAAGTATTTTGTATATTGCCTTGAATAAATAACAAAATGTAAATTCATGTTTTTCAACGCATTCAACCTTTGAGATAAAGGAATGGTGAAATAAACATAGCTACGTACAACATATATCGACATATCTATAATTCCATACATTTAAAGATCAGTTCCTTATCCACTTCCAGGTTACTAAAAATTACTTATGGATAGGTTGTTAAATTGTAATAAATGTATTTTTGGTGTATCGTATCTATATATAACCTAGCCCTAGAAATTACTTAGAACCTATAGGTTCGACTTTAAACAAGATTGAACTCAGTTATCAATTAAATGGTGAGACTTGTGGGCTGTGAGTAATCTATTAATTATTTCAATGTACAATAATAATTTTATGATTTTTTTTTATTAATTTATTTTATCTTATTTTATAATTATTAATAATTCTGCAATAATTAAAAATTATAAATATAAAATATATAAAACTGTTGTTATAAGTATAATCATAAATACATACATGCACACGCA